AAACATAACCTTTGATTGAAAGCACCGAAACATTCATTTGTGCTAAGTTGGGAGTAATAACATGTTAGGATGACCAGTTGATTAAAACTAACTTTTTCCATGGACACAGTAATTTAAGAAAAAAAATCAAACAAACAAAAAAATCACAGTAGTTTTAGCAAATTCGTTGTTAAATTTTTTTCTTCTATTTGCCCTAGAATAAGTCATCATCCCCTATATTTTAATTGTGGATTAAATCGGGCCTTGGAAATGCCTTCAGGTTTATCCTGTCCTCTTTTAAAACATCTGTTTTCAGTCATTTTTACCACCACATTTTCTCAGTATTTCAGTGTTATTGGTTTTGATCAAGAGTCTCGTGGCACAAGATCGAGTTTGGATTGGATCTGGCAGGTGTTGTGTCACTGTTTTCCATGTGCAGTTCAGAGCCGAGCGTTTTCACCTCATTACAGAAAGTAATAATGCAGTGAAGTCAAAGTGCGAGAGAGAGGAAGGAAAACAAGGCAGCTTTTTATTGGATTAATTAGATGTCTTGCAAGGACCACCTGCAATAGAATAAAACACAAGTCAGAAAGAAACTCACATCTGGTATGTTTCTACCTACTAAAAGACTAACTTTAACCAAACCATCTTTTGCTCAAATGTAATTGATATTTGAAATAATTTGCAAGAATTGTTTTGGAAACACGCTGTTTTGGAACCATACTTGCAGCTTTTTAATGAATCTGAATGTCCCCAATGTTTGTCTAATCACTCATTTTTTTAGCGTTCTGTTCTCAGCAACATATGGCAAATATCCACCTTGTCCCTTCGACATCAGAATGCTGGTGCTGCAACCCCCTTGTGTCATTAATGATTTGGTGCAAAAATGATTGAATTCAACATATTGTGAATGATTGATTTGTTTAATGCAATAAATTTGTTCATGAAGACCTAATGAGGTATTGCATTGTGATAAGTTGATGGGATTTGTGTCGATACATGCCAAAATAACAAAGTAAAGTCCAACTAATGGCTTTTCGATCCTTTGTGACCCCCACCCACATCTGTCCTTGTCCTAAATGTCAAAGAAAACTTTTATGACAAAAAGTCCAGCCCGACAACAAAATCAAGAGGCATGTTCAGTACATTTACACACACACACACACACACACACACACACACACACA